TGCCATCTGCCACTCTCTCCTCCTTCACCTTTGTCTCAGATGAGGAGGTAGACTTGCTCCCTCCCAAAGCTAACCCCTCTACCTGCACAAGTGACCCCAATTCTATCCCATTTCCTCCAACAGATTGCCCCCTCTGTCATTCCACTCTTTTATTGGTTTTCTTTTTTCAAATTAATAGTATTTTTTCAACCATATGTATCTTTTACTTATTTTCAATCTCTCCCTCTCTACTGGCCCATTCCCTCCTGCTACAAACATGCATGTTTGTAGCAGACATGGGTCTCTCCTACCCTGAAAAAACCCTCACTTGATCCTTCCATCCCTACTATCATCCTTTATCTCTTTTGCCCTTTGTAGCTAAACTCCTCGAAAACACTGTCTACAAAAATGCCATCTAGGTCTACAACTCCACTTTCTCTCCTCTCACTCTCTTCTTAACCCCTTACAATCTGGCTTCTGACCTTATCATTCTATTAAAGCTGTTGTCTCCAAAGCTACCAACTTAGTTGTAAAATCCAATGGCTTTTCTCAATCTCATTTTCCTTGCTCTCTCTGCAGCCTTTGACATTGTTTATCACTCTCTGTTTCTCTGTCTGTCTGTCTGTCTGTCTGTCTCTCTCTCTCTCTCTCTCTCTCTCTCTCTCTCTCTCTCTCTCTCTTTCCTGGTTTTCCTCCTACCTCCCTGACCACTCCTTCTCTGTCTCCTTTGCTAGATCCTCCTCCACACCACACCCTCTAACTGTAGGCATCCCACATGGTTCTGTCCTGGGTCCTCTTCTCTTCTCCTTCCATATGACTTTACTTTGGGATCTCATCAGCTCCCATGGATTTTATTACCATCTGCCTCCATGCTGATGATTCTCAGATCTACCTATCCTGCCCCAACCTCTCTGCTGACCTTCAATCTCTCATTTCTAGCTGCCTTTCAGGCATCTTGAAGTGGGTGTCCAGTAGACATCTTCAACTCAACATGTCTAAAATGGAGCTCGTTATCTTTCGCCTAACCCCTGCTGCCCCTGCCACTTCCCTATTACTGTAGGAAATAATACCATCCTCCTCTGAGCTCCCTACCCAGCAGTCATCCAGGACTCCCCCCATAGCTCATGAGCAAAAACAGACAGAAAAGTTCACAGAGGTAAAATGGATAATTTTGATCACACAAAATTAAAAAGTTTTTGCACAAACAAAACTAATGCAGCCAAAATTAGAAGGGAAGCAGGAAACTGGGGAAATTATTTTTACAGCAAGTTTCTTTGATAAAGGCCTCATTTCTCAAATGTATAGGGAAATGAGTCAAATTTATAAAAATAAGAAATGTTTTCCAACTGATACATGGGCAAAAGATATGAACAGGATGTTTTTAGAAGAAGATCTCAAAGCTATCAATAATCATGTGAAAAAATACTCTAAGTCACAACTAATTAGAGAAATGAAAGTTAAAACAACTCTGAGATACCACCTCATACCTATAAGATTGGTTAACATGACAGAAAAGAAAAATACAAATATGGGAAAAAATGGGGACACATGCGCTGTTGGTGGAGTTATGGTCCAACCTCTAGAGAACAATTTGGAATTATATCCAAAGGGCTATAAACTTGTGTGTATACCCTTTGATGCAGCAATATTACTTCTAGCTCTATATCTCAAAGAAATCAAAGAAAAGGGGAAAGAACCTATTTTACAAAAATATTTATAGCAGCTGTTTTTTGTGGTGGCAAAGAATTGGAAATTGATAGGATACCCATCAATTGGGGAATGGCTGAACAAGTTGTGGCATATGAATGTAATTGAATACTATTGTGCTATAAGAAATGATGAACAGGCTGACTTCAGAAAAACCTGGAAGGACTTGTATGGTCTGATACTGAGTGAAGTGAGCAGAACCAGGAGAACATTGTACACAGTAACAGCCACGTTGTGCGATGACTAATATTGATAGACTTAACCCTTCTCAGCAATACAAGGATCTAAGACATCTCCAAAGGCCACATGATGGAAAATGCTATCCATATCCAAAGAAAGAACTATGGAGTTTGAATGCAGATCGAAGCATACTATTTGCTCTTTTTTTTCTTCTGTTGAGTTTTGTTTCCTCTTTCTAGTGGTTTGTCCTATTGGTTCTAATTCTTACTTACAACATCACTAATGTGAAAACATTTTTAATAGGAATGTATTTGTATAGCCTATATCAGATTGCATGCCATCTTGGGGAGGAAGGTAGGAAGGGTGGGGGAGAAAAATTTAAAACTCAAAAGCTTATGGAAGTGATTGTTGATAAATCAAAATAAATTAATTTAAAAGAAAAACCAAAGAATTGGAAATCGAGGGGATACCCATCAACTGAGGAATGGCTGAACAAGTAGTGACTGTGATGGAACACTATTATGCTATAAAAAATGAGAAATGGGATGGTTTCAGAAAAACCTGGTAAGTCTTATATGAACTGATGCAAAGTGAAGTGAGCAGAACCAGGGATGATCAACTGTGAAAGACTTAGCTACTCTAATGAGACAATGATCCAGGACAATTACAAAAGGACCTGTGACAAAAATTTGTTATCCACCTCCAGAGAGAGAACTGATGAATTCTAAGTGCAGACTGAAACCCACTTTCTTTATTTTTCTTGGGTTGTTGTTTGCTTTTTTTTTTTGGAATGTGTTTTATTTTGCAACATAGCTACTATGGAAATATGTTTTGCATGACTTCACATGTATGATTGATATCATGTTGCTTGCCTTCTCAAAAGGTAGGGGAAAGGCAAGAAGGAGGGAGAGAATTTAGATCTCAAACTTTTAAAAATTAATGTTAATATTTAATAATTCAAAATGAATGTTAATAATTTTAAACTATATTTGGCAAATATTTAACAAAATAAACAAATGCACAAATATATAACTTTATTTATGGTTGTTTTATATATATGTGTATACATATACATATGTGCATATATACATGCATATATATAAGATCATATTATGATACTATTCAAGTCCAATAGGAGTTCAGAGAAAGAAGTTACTTCTAATTTGGGACTGATAAAATAAAACTCATAGGAGGTGGAATTTGAGCTGGATCATAAAGGATGGGTTTGATTTTAACAAGTAGAGATAAAGGAAAGACCTTTCTAGGAGTAGGAAAATGCCTAGACAAAGGTTTGAATGAGAGAAAGTCCAAGACGTGTTCTAGGAATAGTGTCTAGATTCTAAGTCTAGTTCTAGGTCAGTTTGGCTGGAGGAGAGAGTTTGTCTTGGAAGACAGGAAATAAGTTGGAAAAGTAGGTTGGTATCAGATCATAAAGGGCCTTGAATACCAGCCGCTTTATGAGTTTTGAGTCTCTCCTGTGGGCAGTGGGGCAACATAGTAGGTTATTAAATGGGGGAGGAAATAACTGAAATAAAAATTTAATCTGGTAGGGGTTTGTAGGATGGGTTTGAAAAGGACCTTCCTTCCATCCACTTGTCCAAATGCTGAATGTCGTGCCAAGCCCAGCTCAAATTCCACTTTCCCCATGAAAACCTGTTTGACCTCTCCAGCCCACAGTGATTTTTCCATTCATGAATCTCATTAAATGTATAGTCAGTCTCACAAGGCTTAGTATTGAATGGCTCTCTGACTAAACAGTCCATGTGGTGTGATCTCCCTTCTCATCGTATAAGCCCCTGGAGGAGAAGTGATGTATCTTGTCCTTCTTCTGTCCTTGTCCAGAATGCTTAGGACAGCCCTGAATATTTGTTTGGGGGGAAGAAAGAGGTTCTAATCTGGGATTTTCTATTTTCCCTCAGCCCTTTGTCTCTCTCTGGCAGTTCAATTCAACAAATATTTGTCGTTTCTTATGTTCAAAGCACTGGACTCAGTGCTGAACATGCAGACATTTTCAATGATGGTCCCTGCTCTCAAGAAACATATTCTATGGGGAGTAAGGTTCGGTGGATATAACATGTACACTGAGACAAAGGGAGTGATGGGAGCAAAAGAGATGTCTGGACAGATCTAAATTAAAACAGATATAATTGAAAATTTATTAAATTAAAATAAATTAAAAAGCTATTTTGGAGCCAGACTGTAGCCTGCCTTAAATGCTAGGCTAAAGAGTCTGTATTTTATTCTCTCTTGACCTAGGGATGGAAAGCCAGCTGAGGTTCTTTGACCATGGGCATGGCATGGTTAGATCGGTGTTTTTTGGAAGATGATTTTGGTAGTTATGGGAAGGATGAATTGGAAAGTGGAGAGACTGGAGGCAGGAACACTGGCCGAGAAGTTCAAATGGGAGGGGATGTGAGCCTGGACTAGGGTGGTTGGCTGCATGTGAGTACAGTGTAAGTAATGTGTTCATCATTATCATCAACTGAAATTCCCACCCACTAAGCCACTAACATGCTGGGTTTTTATGAGAAGCTTGACCCCTTCCCCAAAGGCCATCTTCCTCTGCTATCTTATGGCACTTCACTTAATACCCATGTATCCTGCCCAACGAGACACTGCTAAACTGCACAGACTAGATTTTCAGGTCTAGGGAAAGTTGGCGGGGCAGGAGAAGGAGGGAATGAAAAAGAAATTACCACTTCAACACCCCCAAAGCCAATGGTTCCTTCTTGACAGACCCTACAAATAGGTCCATCTCTTCTCTCCAAGGCATCCTGTCTGGATTCCCCCTTCCTGAAATGCTTCTCTTGTTCTAGTCAACTCCCTTGGAATTTAAACCCCACTTCTCTCCCAACTCCACACCCACCATCTATAGCCCCCCCTTTCCAGTTAGCTCCCCATCTCTCCCCTGTGCTCACTGTCTTAGGTACACCAAGAATTTCAGTTTCTTCAAACACCTGAGAAAACTCAGAGATGTGCTGCACTCTGCCCCAAAGTGTCCAAAGGAAAGGGAATTCAGGGTGTGGCCACACAAACACACACACACACACACACACACACACACACACACTCCTTTGGGTGATATAAAAAACTGCCCTAGGGTCCCAGCAAAGACTGACTGACTATCACCAGGGCAAACAAGAGGTAAGGAAGGAGCTGGGAGCAGGGAGCAGAGGGGGAGCAGAATAAATATCTGGGTTCTGGGTTTGGGGAGATAGACACAATTGGATTGGAAGGACTGGGGAGACTGTTACATGGGAGAACCTTGGAATTCTGCTTGTGTTGCAGAGGGTCATGGCAGCAGAGAAAGGATCCCCAGCAGTGGTGGGCTTACTGGTCTTTGGAAACATCATCATCCTGGTAAACATATCCCAGTCCCCTTTACCTCCCCAGAGTCTTCTCCCAAGGAGTTAGGGTGGGGGGAATAGGTTCAGACAGAAAACTGAACACCTAATTTGCCACGGGGATCTAAGAATGTATTATGGGAAAGAAAAGAGGAAATTCTGGGGCACAGGGCTTAATAGGGAAATGATACTGTAAGAGTGAGAAGCAAGATGCTGCTTTGGGGGTAATTATATACCATCCTTCTGCCCAGAATCCTCATTTGGCAGTACTGAAATCCTTAGCAAGGGATTTGAGTTAGTATAAATGGAGAAACAGGATTAGTTGAGTGAAAGAAAAGAAAAACAAAACATTGATTTGGTTGCTTTGCGTGCTGATACTATAGGATTGTAGCCATGAAATTATAAGGGAGAATGGGTATATACTCAAATGTGGTCTGAACACATGAAAAACAGGGCAGGTGATAGAAACATTGCAGTGGGTATTTGGAAAGGAGATTGGGGGATAGTACGGAGCAGTAAGGCTTGGTTGAAGAAGTTAATGGGCATGGGGGATTACAAGGGGCTGGGTGAAAGGTGTTGGAAGCTGGGGGGTGTATGTGCCCCACCTTGACTGCTCCCTTGGTCCAGCTGTCAGGCCTGGCACTGTTTGCGGAGACTGTCTGGGTGACGGCCGATCAGTACCGGGTCTACCCTCTGCTTGGGGTCTCTGGCAAGGATGACGTCTTCGCGGGGGCGTGGATCGCCATTTTCACCGGCTTCTCCCTCTTCGTGGTTGCCAGCTTTGGAATAGGAGCGGTGCTGTGCTATAGCCGAGGAATGCTTCTTACGGTCAGGGCTGGGGTGGAGTTTGGGTGGGTGGGGCAGGATGGAGAGTGAAATGGGTGACAGAGAAGTGGCCTTTAGCTGGGCTCTTCCCATCTCTCCCAACTGGACTGTTTCCAAAACCCACAATTTCCTGATCAAACCCCAATTACCCACTCTTATCTGAATCCATTCCCTTTTGGGCCAAAGCCTCTAACCACGATCCCCTGCTCTCCACCCCCCACCCCATGGATCCCCGTCCCTTCCTATCTGACCCTCTTCTCTTTATTCTCTAGTACCTGGTATTAATGCTGATTGTCTATGTGTTTGAATGTGCCTCCTGCATCACATCATATACCCACAGAGACTATGTGAGCACTCAGGGGGAGTTAAGGGTTGAGTAAAGGGGGCAGAGGACGCTTGTGGAGGGATAATTTGGAGATACGGGGCCAGAGGAAGGATTCTTAACCTATAGTCTGTGAACTTGTATCTCAAAAGATTTTAATTATTGCAATATAACTGGTTTCCATGATAATCCTCTGGATTTTATTTTACGCATTTAATAGCACGATTCTGGGGTGAGAAGGGGTCTGCAGGCTTCGCCACACTTCCCAAGGGGTCTAGAACACAAAGTGTTAAGATCCCCAAGAGAAGGGGGAGAGGAGGACAGAGCAGGGATAGGGTTTGGTGTTATTTCCCTAAGGGACTCTTCTCCTCCTGGTTCTAGGAAAGACTCCACCCTCTCTTCTGACTCCTTTCTCCTTCTTACTCCAGATGGTATCCAACCCAGCACTTATCACCAAGCAGATGCTCACATACTACAATGCCCCCACGAGCCAGGGCCGGGAACTGACTCGTTTCTGGAACCGAGTCATGATTGAGGTGAGGCTCCCCTGAGGGCAGTGAGATGGGCAGGATGTATAGAGGGAAATGTGGGCATCCAGAAGCTGGGATGTTAGCCACAGATTGTTGAAGGCAAGCAGGAGCTAAAGGGAGAAACTCAGAGCCCAGAGAGCCAGATGCTGGGTTCTATGTTAAAGGGAGTCTTGTTCTACGCTGTTTTGTACTCACTCTCTATCTCCCTTGTCTGTCTTTCCAGCAACAATGCTGTGGTACCTCAGGGCCCCTAGACTGGGTGAGCTTCACATCAGCCTTCCGAAAGGCCATCTCAGAGGCGGAGTTTCCTTGGCCTCCACTCTGTTGCCGTAGGGATGCCAACTTCAACCCTCTCAGCGAGGAGGGATGTAAGCTTGGTTACCAAGACTACCTCTTCACCAAGGTAACATCAGAGCTTGCCTTTCATCCCACTATTGCTTTTTATTTTTCCCAATTACATGTTGAAACAATTTTTAACATTTGGGTTTTTTTTTTTTAAGTTTTTAGTTCCAAATTTTATCCCTCCCTTGCTTACCCCAGACAGGAAGCAATCAGATACAGGTCATACATGTGTAATCACGTAAAACATGTCCGTATTAATCATCTTGTACAAGAAAGCTCAAATATAAGAAAAAGAATGAAAGAAAAAAGGTGAAAATAGCATGTTTCAGTCTATATTCAAACACTATCAGTTCTGTCTCTGGAGAGGGACAGCATGTTATATCATTAGTCCTTTGAGATTGTTTTGGACCATTGCATTACTGAAAATAGCTAAGTCACTCACAAGTCTTCAATGTTGCTGTTACTGTGTACAACATTCCTCTGGTTCTGTCCACTTCACTTTTCATCAGTTCACATAAGTCTTTCCAGGTTTTTCTGAAATCATTCTGCATCATTTCTTACAGCACAAGAATATTCTGTTACAGTCATACGCCACAGCTTGTTCAGCCATTCCCCAACTGATGGGCATCCCTTTAACTTCTGATTCTTAGCCACTACAGAAAGAGCTGCTATAAATACACCCCTCCATTGCTTAACCCAGCCTCTCCATCACTGTACTTTTCCCCTCCAGGGCTGCTTTGACCATATTGGCCATGCCATTGATAGCTACACCTGGGGCATCTCTTGGTTTGGATTCGCAATCCTTATGTGGACGGTGAGAGAAAGAGCCAAGATCTGGGAAGGCAAAAACCCCTGGAGCAAGGTGCTGGGAGGGGAGTGCTTAAGAAATTGGGGGAAGTTAGAATTAATCCTATTTCCCATTCACATTGACCCAAACTCCTGGCAGAAGATTCCCCCCCTCCCCTCTAGCCTAGGGACCTGGGCAGAGGAAGAGTATGACTCTAAGGGTATGCTCCTCACTCCCATCTCTCTCCTTCCTCAGCTGCCTGTGATGTTATTGGCCATGTACTACTATACGATACTCTGAGACCCTCAAGGAAGCGGTCCCCCTTCCCCAGAAGCAGTTTCTCCTCCTGCTGGGCCCACCCTTGCCCTACTGGTGGTTTTGTGGGCCCTTTGGAAAGAGCGCTCCACCCAGACCCTCAAGTATTTGCTCTTCCTAATTTTCTTCCCTTTCTCGCCAAAATAACTCACCCTTCTTCCTTCTTCCTGATACTATTGTATTCCTTTTCTTCCTCCATCCCCAGACATCCCCAGTTCCCGCTAAGAGTGATGGAGTCTTTCCTTGTCAGCCTGCACATATTTTTTTGTGTCAAATAAAGGTTTCTTTTTTCTCATCCTGAGCTGGTTTGTTCTGGCTGGAAGGCTCCTGGGGCTGAAGAGAGCATACCTTCCAGGGTAAGAAGGGAGGGAGTGGTAGTTTCATCTTTGCCCTCGTCCTTTTCTACTTCCTTCTTGGGCTCCAGCTTGGCCACATTCCCTTCTTGGCCACATTCATGCCCAAGAGTGGGGCTGGACAAAATCATGTTCTAGGCTGGCTGTTTCCACCCGCCCTTAACAGGCAAAACAGGTTTGCCTGTTTCTTGATCCCGTTAGGAGAGTCCGCTGCTACTGCTGCAGATGAGTGAGAAAGGGGGAATGGAGTAAAGTTGAAAGAACCGGTCACAGCTAGGTACCTAGTGTGTGTGGATGCGAGGAGGGAAGCATGGTAGCTTGCTGCTCAGACCTTTTGCAATGGGGAAAGGGGGTCCTGAAGGAGAAGAGTCCTAATAAGAAACTGTACACACAGACCTCCCTGTTTTCTTTTTGTAATTAATTTATTTTGAATGATCAACAATCACTTCCATAAGCTTTTGAGTTTTAAATTCCCCCCCCCTTCCTCCCCACCACTCTCCCCAAGATGGCGTGCAATCTGATATAGGCTATACACATACATTCCTATTAGTCGTGTTTTCACATTAGTGATGCTGTAAGTAAGAATTAAAACCAAAAGGAGGAACCACTCCCTGTTTTCTAGAACAAGCACAGAACGGTCCCTCCACACAGAAGAGGGGAGTTATAGGAATTAACTCAGGCAGAGGGTAACTAGATGACCAGCTAATGGACGCTTCACCATGTGAGACATGCTAGTGGACACTGTCACTTCACTAATCATGATTAGTCTCCTTATATCTCATTAGTAACGATTGGAATTGGGTTGGTTGATTAAATGCCTTGGCAAGAGTCTTTTTTTTTTTTTGAAACCCAGGTTAGTTGGTATGGCGTCAATATTTTCCAGAGGAATTTCAGCTCAAAAGGCTGACACCTCTGGCTCATGTCAAAGCCCAAAGATCCCCACGGGAGAGGAGACAAGGCCGAGGCCACAGGAAACGGTGACCCTAGCAGTGGAAAGGGAGGCTAAAGGACAAAAAGCAGAAAAGGGAAAGGATAAGCCAAAAGTGGGTAAATCACATCTCAGCTGCTCGAGTTACCCAAACCACTAACCAGCCCCATCCCGTTCTTCCAAGAATGGCCTGCTCCTGCCTGAAGGCTGGGACCCAGGATCTGAAGGCAGCAGAACCTGGTTCTGGTTCCATGGCATGTAACTGATCTGAGCTTCTACATCCAGGGTCTTCCTAGCCATGTACCCCTTGTGTCCTCTGAGCCTCAAAACAGCCTGCCCACTAGCCCCATTCTGCAGATGAGGAGGTGAGGTGAGGGGCCCAGATGCACACGGAGCATGAACAGGAGACGGGCTTTTCCCATTGCACCAGGCTGCATTGTCTGGCCTTGACCAAACAAAGATGGAATCAGTGGAGCAACAAGTCATGGATTCAGGGGTGTTGCTGAGACCACCGTCGGGGCGCCTTCTCTCCACTTTCCCAAACCAAAGCCCCAGCTTTCATCCTTGGCCCTCCCCTCTCCTTCTGGCCCTGTGAAGATGAAAGTCCAGGAATGAGGAATGAGAGTCCAGACCCAGGATCAGCTGGGGTCAGGCATTGAGGAAGGAGAGAGGCAGAGCAGCCCCCCGGGGATCCTCTGACATCAGGCAGGGAAAACCAGCCGAGGTCTCTGCCCTGGGCACGAGATATTAACCCTTGCCAGACAATGGGAGCTTCAAGTTCTGGAGAGCTCTGGATCCAGCTTTTCCAAATAGCCAGACCTTGGGTATCCTGTCTGGAGCTAGATCTGCTGGGGGGAGGGGGGCTTCATGATGCTGTTCTGTACAGGAAGGGCACAGAATGCATGCTGCCCTTGGGTTAACGGGGCTCTGCCTTGCCTTCTTCTACCAGGCTATGATTTGAAACCTGCAATCCCTCCTGCACTATATGCTAAACTTGGGATAGGGACCCTGGGACTCTGGAAGGAAGGCACACACTGGAAAAGAGCCCTGGATTGCCCATCAGAAGACCTGGGTTCAAATCCCACCTGTGATGCTTACTGCTTGGGTGACCTTGGGCACGTCACTCAACCTTTCCGGGCCTCAGTTTCCCTATTTGTCAGTCAAGTGGGGAGGGGGGACTAGATGGGTTCTGAGGGCCCCTCCAGCTCCAGATTGGGGATCCCAAGCTCCCCTTCCCATCTGCCTCCCTCTTCTGCTCAGCTCTGGGTAGCCCTAGCCCGCTTCCCTCCGTCCTCTCCCCTCCTGCCTTGGAGGGCAGGTGCAACCCCGCGAGTCTCCTTTGCCTATGGACCCCAACAACGACTTCCAATCGGCCTGGTGACTGGAGGGCGGTGCTAACCGCAGAACAGAGTCCCCGCCTCTCCTTCGGCTAACCTCAGCCAATAGGGAGGGGAGACGCGAGTCCCGCAGCCAATCAGAGGCGGCGGATGAGACCCACCGCCTCCTCTTATTTCTCTCCTCCCCTCCTCTCCCTCACGTGTCCCGAGGTGCGAGCTCTTCAGCCAATCACAGAGGGGTCCGCTGATCTTGGCGGGAAAGGAACCTCGGTCCCCATTCCCCCCTCTCTAACCCGAGGGTGGCGGCGACAGGGGGGCATCTCCCCCACCCCAACAGGACGCAGCCACCCTATCCCGGGAGAGCTTCTCGGTGACGTCGGGGCTTTCCCTCCGAGAGACTCAGCCCTCCTCCCCTCCCCCTCCCCGGCTCCCTGCCAACCGCCAAGCGTGAGCGCGCCGGAGAAAAGGCGGGAAAGGGCCTAACGGCGAGGGGCCGTTACAGGAGCGCGGCGGCGGTCGAGGCCGAAGCCCCGGAGCGGAGGCCCGGCCTGGCCAGGCCGAGGCGGGCGGGCGAGTGGACGGCGAGCAGGAGGCCGCAGAGCGGTGGGGACTCCACGTTTTCCGTTTCTTCCTTCCCTGTGGTTGGGGCGAGGCGGGGAAGGTGGGGGCGGGGCTCCTCAGAAAGCTCCGGGCTCGGGGGGGGGGTGTCGAAGAACCTCTGTTTGGGGGGCTCACAGGCATAGTGGGCGTGCGTGAAAGAGCCCCAATGTGGGGGCACTTTGTAGGCCTTGTTGGAGGACGCTTAAAAGACCCGGTTGTGAGGGCTGCCCAGAGTGCCCCATTGTGGGGGGGCTCCATGCTGACCCCCATTTGGGGTGGGCTCCTCGCAGACCCCCATTGTGGGGGGCTCTTCCTAGGATGACTCAGATCCCATTTGGGGGGCTCTTCGCAGCCCCCATTGTGGGATTGTAAGGTGACTCACAGATCCCATTTTGGGGGGGCCTCCTCCTGGACCTCAGAGACAGAGGAGGAGCATCTTCTCTCACCTCTAGGTTACTATTTTCCGCCTTAGGCCTCTGCCTTGGCTGCCCCCTCCCCACAGTGCTCTCCCCCCCCGCTTCTTAGCTTCTTCAGCTTCCTTGTAACTCTCCCCTTCAGAAGGCTCCTTCCAATTCCCCTGGCTGCCAGTGCCTTCCTTCCAAGATTACCTTCCATTTACTGTGTATGTATCTTGTGTGTATGTGTGTACACGCTCCCACACACGACACACATGCGCATATACATACATATATATGTAGCTATTTCCATATTGTCTCCCACTTTAGAAGGCAGGAACAGTATTTTTTGCTTTTCTTGGTATCCCTAGTGCTTAGCGTAATGGCTGGTTCATGGTAAGAACTTACATGCTTGTCGATTTTAATTGATTGATTTGTGTCATGTGAAATGTGGTCTGCTATAGGAAGCTGGTTATGAAGTGACGAATTTGAGAGATACGGCAAACCACAAAACATACATCTTGGTATTACGAAATGTAATGGAGTGTAATTGCAGCATAAAAACAGCAAATATGGAGAATACAGTTGCAGAAAAGAAGATTTAGGTTCCTTCCACATAAGGAAAACTTCTTGATAATTAGAGCTGTCCGAAAGTAGAATGGGCTACTTTAGAAAGTACCTTGTCACTAGAGGTCTTCAGGCTGGGCTTTAAAGATCATTGGTTATCACATCAGTTGGTGATGTTGTAGAGGGGATTCCTTTTCAGATATGAGTTGGTCTATATGCTCTTTAAAATCCTTTTTGAAAGTAAGATGTTATGATTGCCCACAGGGCCAGTGCTATGGTAGGTTTATCCCATATGGACGAACATTTTATGGTTGTTTATGGGACCCAGATATTATGGGATCATTCTTAGGGACCCTCGTCTTGTAGAATCACCTTGACTGACCACCCCCATCTGCAGGTTCCTTCCTTACTACTCTTCCTCAGTCATTTTTTAAAAAAAACTTTCACTAAATCCTATGGTATCCTCAAGCTAACATCCTATATCTTGCCCTCCTTAGTGAAACTCAAGGAGAACACTTTCTACATGTGTTTCTTTCTTTCCCTTCCTCTTAATTATTCTTCAACCTTTTGCATTCTGGCTTCCAGCCTCATCACTTACCTAAAACAGTTCTCTCTAAAGTTACTAATAGTCTCTTAATTGTCAAATTCTTTTTTTTTTTTTATCCATCTTGGTCTCCCTGCTGCCTTTGACACTTTACCATCCTGAATACTTGCTCTTCTCTGGATTTTCATGACACTACCGTTTCCTGGTTCCTCGACTGCCTATGTTAACTATTCCTTTTCAATCTCCTTTCCTGACTCTATCCATATCACTGCCATTAACTGTGTTCCCCAGATCTCTGTCCTTGGCCCCTCTTCTCATATGATTATTTTTTATCTTGGTAACTTCACCATCTTCCATGGGGTTTAACTGTCAACTCTATACCACTGACACACACAACTATTATTATATCCAGCCCTAGTCTCTCTTGAACTTTGGCCCTGCGTTGCTAATTGCCTAATCGCCATCCATTTCAAGACAGATCTCCCAGAGACATTTCAAACTCAACAAGTCCAAAATAGAACTCACTAACTTTCCCCTAAATCTCATCTTTCAAATTTCCCTATTTCTGTTGAAGACAATTTTTCTAGTCTCTCAGGTTTTTGTAACTTTGGTGTTATCCTTGCCCCTTCTTTCTTTCTTCGATTCTCCATTCACTTGCCAAGTCATGCTGTTCCTATCTCCACCACATCTCTCACATCTGTACTTCTTTCTACTCATACAGCTACTTAGGCCCTTATCACCTTTTGCCTATATTATTACAATGGCATCCTGATTGATTTCTCTGCCTCAGGTATCTCTCTTTAAAAAAATTTTTTTTAAATTTATTTTTAGGTTACTGGGGTTAAGTGACTTACCCAGGGTCACACAGCTAGTACGTGTCAAATGTTTGGTCTGAGGCCTGGTTTGAACTCAGCTCCTTCTGACTTCAGGGCAGGTGCTCTATCCACTTCGCCACCTAGCTGCCCCTACCTCATATATCTCCACTCTAGTCTGTCCTCCACACTGCTGCCAAAGTAACTTTCCTTAAGTATATATCTGACATCACTTAGTCCTACTCAATAAACTCTAGCATCTCATTATTTCCTTTAGGATAAAATATATATTGCTCTCTTCAGCTTGCAAAGCTTTACATAACCTGGCCCCAATTTATCTTTCCAGTCTCACTGGGCATCACTTCTCTTTCTGTACTGTGCAGTCTGACCAAACTGACCTCTCTGTTTCTCACCAATGACACTCCATCTCCTGTCTTCTGCCTTTTTACTGGCTGCTCTGTGTCCCTGGAATGTACTTCTTCCTCTCTGTTGCCTCATAGAAGCCCACTTCATTCAAGTCAAAGCTCAGGTCATATCTTCTACATCAATGGTGTCAAACTCCGATAGATTCAGGTCCCTTCAGGCTACATATTGACTTAGAAATTCACAAATTAACTTTATTTCTGTTGTATTACCTAGCAGGTCAGCTAGGTGGCACAGTGAATAGAGCGTGGGATCCCCTGACCCCCCAAATTCTCTTCAACAAAAGCTTGGCAGGGATGGCAGTGGCAGCAGTGTATCAGAGATCCCTGGCAGCAGGAGCAGAGGCGATGCTTCATAAGGAGCAGCCTCAGAAACTTACTAGCTTTGTGACCCTAGGTGAGTCACTTAATCCCATTTGCCTCAGATCTTCATCTGTAAAATGAGCCAAAGGGAAATGGCAAACCACTCCAGTATCCTTGCAAAGAAAATCCCAAATGAGTTCCTGCAGAATCAGGACTTAAAACAACAAAAACAAGTACACCTAGTCAAGCAAAACAAATCCCCACATCGGTCATGTAAAATAACATAGGTCTCGTTCTGAATCTTGAGTCCATCATGATGCTTCATGCTTCATCGTTGGTACTCTGACATTGGGGGCGGTCATTACATGGATCATAGTTAAGCCTTTCAAAGTTATTTTTCCTTACATTACTGTGTGTGTGTGTACGTACGTACGAGTAACAATTGTCTTCTTGGTTCTGCTCACCTCCCAGGTTTTTTTTTTAAACTATCCTTCTGGCTGTTTGTTTTGGCACAATAGCATTCCATTGCATTTATATATCATAATTTGTTTAGCCATTCCCCAGTTAATGGACAGCTTCTTAGTTTCCAGTCCTTTGCCATTATAAACATTTTTGTACCTATAGATTCTTTTCCTCTTTCTTTGATCTCCAAGCTTATAAGCTTAGTAATGGTATCACTGGACATAGTTCCAAATGGCTTTCCAGAACGGCTAAATCCAGTTCACACAGTCACCAGTAATGCATTAATTTACATATTTTCCCAGAGTCTCGTAGAACATTTGTCATTTTCCTTATTTTTATTTTTTCTCTCTCTTTTCCTCCATCTTTACCCATCTGTTGGGTATGCAGTAAAACCTGAGTTGCTTCAATTTACATTTATATAATTATTAATGATTTGGAGTATTTTTTTTCATGTGGTTGTTGATAGTTTTGGATTTTTTTTCCTTTGAAAATTGCCTGTTCATAGCCCTGGACAATTTATCAATTGGGAAATGGCTGTTCTTATAAATTTGAATCAATTCCTTACGTATCTTGAAAACTAGACTTTTTTCAGAGAATCTTTCTGCAAACTTTTCCCCCAGTTAACTGCTTTCCTTCCAATTTTAACTGCATTTGATCTGTGCAAAAACTTTAATTTTATGTAACTAAAACTGTTTACTTTGTCTTCAATGATCTTCTCTAGCCCTTTGGTTACGAACTCTTCCCCTATCCATAGATCTGAAAATTAAATTATTCTTTTCTAATTTGTTTATAACATTTTCTGTCCAAGCAATATATCCATTTTTAGTTCATCTCAGTATATAGTGTGTAAGATATTGGTCTATACCTATTTGTACCAAACTGCTTTTCAGTTTTCATGGCATTTTTGACTAAATAGTGATTACTTATCCTAGAAGTTGGGATCTAGGCTACATCTAAATATTGTATACGTAATGTTTTATTGATTGACCTTTCAATTTTTTTAGCCAGTACCAAATGTTTTGATGATTACTGCTTTGTAGTATAGTTTGAGATCTGGTGCTGCTAAGGTTCCTTTCCTTCTTACTTTTTCTTTTTTTTATTATATCCCTGGAGATTATTACTAGCAGGCATTATTGTAGTATCTTATCTGGCCATATCTAAACCTCTACATGTATAATTGTATGGTCTCTCTGTAGCCCAGGCCTGGCTCACCTGTTATAACCAGGTGTATGTTTTCTAGTTATTGTGTTGCAATTTAAAAAAAAAAATTTTTATTAATTTATTTTGATTTATCAACAATCACTTCCATATGCTTTTGAGTTGAAAATTTTTTTTTTCTCCCCCTTCCTCCCCCCCACCCTCCCCAAGACGGCGCACAATCTGATATAGCCTTTACATTTACATTCCCATTAAACATATTTTCACATTAGTGAAGTTGTAAGTAAAAATTAAAACCAGTAGGAGGAACCATCAGAAAGATGAAACAAAACTCAACAGA